TAAGTGATTCCCTCAGTTCAATTGAGTAATGGGGAAATTGACAACTCAATAAAATTGAGTTGACCTAATGTGGAATTTTTTTTTGCATTAATTTAAATGTTTGAGTACAGATAACTTAAAAAAAGGCAAATAGACTAAACTCACACTTTCCAGTTCCTATTCCTGTTTATTAAATAATGTATAAATCATTAAAACGAGTTACACTATGCATTTATTTCTTCAGCTGAACACAATAGAAGATATTTTAAAGGGCACCTATTATGGAAAATTCACTTTTACATGGTGTGTTGAACATAAATGTGTGTTGGCAGCTTTTAAACAGGCCCCAAAAATGACATTTTCAAATGGTTATAATAAATTAACTGTGGGGTATTTTGAACTGAAACTTAGCAAATACATTCTGGGGACACCCGAGACCAATATTACATCTTGTAAAAAAGGTGCCCTTTAAAGAATATGAGTAAACAGTTCAGTTTTGTGTTCAGCTAAAGAAGAAAAACTCATACAGGTTTGGAACAACTTGCAGTGTTCTAGAGCAAAACCAGTTGCGAACCACTGCTTTACTAGATGATTCGTATCTATTGCAATTACAGCACATGTGTCCTGCAAAGAAAAAGTATTGTTGGTTTAACTTAAAAAAGTAAGTAACCTGGTTGCCTTAAAATTTTAAGTTCACTGAACTGGAAAGAGTGAGTTAATACAATGAAGGAGAATGATTTAATCATCACAAACTCAAAATTATATGTTATCTGAACTAAATAAATTATTTAAGTTGATTTGACAAAAGAAAAAATGTTGTGATTACAACTGTAAAAAAATATTGTTGTTTTAACTTAAAAAAGTAAGTAACCTGGTTGCTTTAAAATTTTAAGTTGATTGAACTGGAAAAAGTGAGTTAATACAATGAAGGAGATTAATTTAACCATCAGAAACTCAAAATAATAAGTTATCTCAACTAAATAAATTATTATAAAGTTGATTTGACAAAAGAAAATATGTCGTGATAACAAATCTTGAAACTATTTTTTTTTACAGTGTAGGTGTCTTGCTCAGACATGATGCTGACCACCAGCCAAGATCTTTACCACCACACTAGTGCCATTTCGCCCTACAGAATAATCAAAATGAGAACTTAAAAATGAATAAATGTCCATAATTTTCTAAAATCTTCTTTCAACCACAGATGTCGAGCTCAGAATTCGACAGTGTACCTTTATGAATACATAATAATTTATTGAGAATCACGACATGAAATAATCACCCTAAACGAAAGGCTTCGTTAGAAACATAACTCAGGCATGTTTTAAAGAGATACACATAAACCTGCCCTTGATCCTATTACCGTTTTCTCCTGGCACGGTCTTTTGTTTTTAGCACACATCTGTCTATTCTGCGTGACATGTCGTGTAATTTTGTACCATTAAGTGTTCTTCTTTCCAAATGATCATTCCTGCACATTTGCCAAAAGCTAAAAGAGTCCCGTACTGGGGTTATTAATGGACTGTGATGTTGGTTTGATGTGCATTTGTAAGTGTTTTGTGGACTCTGGGTTTGACCTGAGGGCTGCTGATCCTGTAAAAGATCGCTTTTCCTTTAAATGAAGTGAAGATAAACTCTCATTGAAATTCAATCCTGTGAAAATCCTCAAGGCGTAAACAAGCCGGTCCTGTTGGGGGCAATTTTCAACTCGCAAAATAAACCAAACTCCATTACAATAAAGCAAGCGAGTGGAACATCAAAGAGAGCAAGGGAGCAGCCACGAGGGAAGCTGGATAATAAAATTAAAGTAAATCGTGCAGGACATGTGATTCTTAAAAGGTGCAAATGATTACCAAAGAGGAGGCTCTGTGTTCGGAAGAAGGAAGTGGAAAATGCTGAAAATTAATGGAGCTAAAACTGACAATAGTGCAGTAACTGCTTGAACAAAGACGCTGCCGCAAAATTGATGCTCCTTTTACGAGAATCTGCCATGAATGAACCAGAACTGACACTTGTTGTTGCAGCTTTGCAAATAACAGGTGTGTCCGTAAAAGCATGGAAATCACGAATGGAAAGCAAAGCACAGTGAACGATGCAGTGGATGTGCAGTGTGTTAAACTTTCACCCACTAATAAAAGCGCGGTTGTCACGCAATGCAGGATGCAGGGAAGAGCATGCAGGCGTGTCGCCTCGAACAGCAGCCGTTCGCTCTTGCAGCCTCGGTCTCGCTTCATTGGAAGTTGTCAGGTTTCAAAAACCACGTTTTTTTTGCAATCATTTTACCTATCATCTATATTAACCATGTCATATACTGGAAGATTTGTGGGCGTGTCCCTCTTCTCTTTCAGACTTCAATGTAAGTATTCACTGAAACAAGAAAACAAGCACCTTAAATTCTAAAGTCCTTCATTTGGTTTGCGCGAGGAACTGAAATTTCGCGTATTTTATGTTTTTTTCATGATTGAATTATTAGTCTGATCTGATTCTCAAGTTCAACTCACTGACCTTAAAGGGATAGTTCATTTTGAAATTGATTTTGATATGTTTTAGCTTACCTCAAGGACATCCAATATGTAGGTGTCTTTGTTTCCGCAGTAGTTTAAATTTTGATATTTTTACGTCAAACCGTTGTTGTCTGTCAGTCATATAATGGAGGTCTATGGTCACCACCTTAAGGAGCATGCACAGAGAAGTCCAAATTAAACATGATTTAATGACTCGTAAATGCAAGTACACATTGATGGCCTAAGACACGAAACGAGCGGTTTGTGTGAGAAAACGAACAGTGTTTATATCGCTTTTATCTCTTAAAACCACAGCCATGTCCATTTTTCCAGCTTTCTGGCTGTTTTGGCTGTGTTGGTTACCAACATTCTTCACAATTTCTTCTTTTGTGTTCAGCAGATGAAAGAAATTCATACAGGTTTAGAACAACAGAATTGTCATTTTTGGATGAACCATCTCTTTAACGTTTCTATTAGAGCCAGACCGATATATCGGCAGGCCGATATTAGAAATTTTCTAAAATATCGGTATCGGCAGATATAACGGCCGATAAATGAATATTTCAAAAATTAAAATAAAAACGGACGAATCACGCTTTAACCATGTCATGAGTGTTGGAGTTGTATAGTTTGTCCACCAGAGGGCACTCTACACCGTCCCTGTTGGCAACACTCGTGTATAACGCGCCACAACCTGTTGATCCAGCCAGAGTCAGGCAGAGAGAACCAGTTATGCATTATCATAATATTTTAGTTAAAACTCATAATTAACTACAAATAACTAATGTTAGGGAAATCTGTTAATATTTTGTTGCGCATTTCTGAAATAAAAAAAAATACTAATAATATCGGCCGATATATCGGAATATGGGATTTTAAAACCAACAAATATTTGTATCGGTATCGGCCTTCAAAATCCTTTATCGGTCGGGCTCTAGTTCCTATAACAAAGAATCGTTTAAAAACTGGACTTTCGTAACGTTCAGAGAACATTCAGAAACAACATTAATGCAAAACGTTCTTAGGCAATAGCTGGGGATCGGCTTCCTCCATGGCAGACTTTGGTCTAGCTTTAGACATGCGGAAAAATATCGGACAGAGAAGGAAAATATAAAAATGATGCCCATGTCCACACGCAAAAGAAGCATTATGGAGCATGTTTTGGACGGCGGGCATCGTTGCGGCCTTCAAAACCGACCGCGTGCACGAAACTGATGGCGCACATCTTGTTTGTTCGCATTCTTTTGTGAACAAATCATTGATTTGAAGAGTAATCCTACAAAACCTCTTCGAATGCAAAGCTAGAGATCCATGGAAAGCCAAATACCGTTTGACATCTGCTTGTGTGACCCTTCGCCTCCGTCAGCCTCATCTCGTCTCTGCTGTGCTGTGAAAGGCAGGAAACGACAGTCTCATGGTCAAAAAATGATGGGTCGTAAAATAATGATTTAATATTGCGCTTCACAGTAGTGACAGGGGTGTGGAACCCACTTTGATGATTGTTGAATAGGCAATGCTGTCGTGTTTGAGGCGGGATATTAGCATGAACTTCTCCTCAATCTGTTCATCATGCACAGAAAAGCATCAACAAACCCAATGAACCCTGCAGGAATGGTAGTGCAACGTTCAAGGTGATCAATACAAATAGGCTATGTGCTGAGAAAAAGCTTTTTATCTGGTTTACATATGATTAATGTAGCAATTTAATGAACTTCATGAACTTTATCTTGTCATCGTATACACTACCGTTCAAAAGTTTGGAGTCTGATTTATTTTGTAATGTGCCTTAATCTGCCTTTATTTGATCAAAAATACAATAAGAACCACAATATTCTGAAATATTATTACAATTCAAAATAACTGTTTTCTATTTGAAGATATGTTAAAATGTCATTTATTCCTGCAATTATTTAAGTCTTCAGTGTCACACGATCATAAAATCAGAAATCATAAATATTAAAAAATTGCTATATATTTTTCTGGACATTTTGATGAAAAGTCAAAAAAAAATGCAATAATTTGAAATATTTTTTGTAACAATGTAAAACATTGTTTACCGTTACTGTTAATCAATTCAATGCATCCTTATTTAAAAGTATTAATTTCTTTTAAAAAAAGTATAGAGTACAGTACAAAATTATAAATAAATAAATAATAATAAATACAAAAAAAGTATTTTCTTAAGTATTTTTGTCTTTTTGTCAAGTTTAGAATTTACTTGAGAAGCAACACTACATAAGATATTAAGACTTCAAAAATGAAAATTTTGTCATTAATTACTCGCCCTCATGTCGTTCCAAACCCGTACGACTTTTGTTCATCTTTGGAACACAAATAAAGATATTTTCATGAAGTCTGAGTGCTTTCTGTCCCTCCATTGACAGCCATGCAACTACCACCTCAAAAAGTTCATAAAGAGATCGTAAAACTAACCCATATGAATTGAGCGGTGTAGTCCAAATTTTCTGAAACCGCTTTATATGATGAACAGATTAAATAAGTAATTGATGACAGAATTTTAATTTTTGGCTGAGCTATCCCTTTAAGAAAATGTATTTTGTCTATAAAATCTGTCAGCCAGCTAATAAATGAGCCTTTTACTTATTAATATCTTGCATTGGTCGAGATCAAGTGAAACTCATGTTATACTAAACTACAACAACACATGGTTCAGAAGGGAAATGTTTGTCTTGGATGTCAGTCTCTTTACATCACACTGAATCACACAACCGGCTGAAAGTGGACACATTGAGCCTTACGGGCCTGTTGGCAGACGTGCCACACGCTTTCGCCGGTCTCAGGAGAGCCTGGGTGGGCAGATAAGTGATCTAGACAGAGAGAGAGAGAGTTTTTAACCTGTGTTATTGCATTCTTCTGTCTAATAAAGCCTCGTCTCCCACACGCTCTCGCTTAGATAAGCAGCGTTAAGGGCCTGTTTGTTTAACATCCAGATTTAAAACTGGATGTCTTAAGTAGCTACATCTCAGTTATCTGACAAGGCCACTTTAATTATCTGTAACTGTACCTGTGTCAAGGGTTCATACTGACAGCAATCTGCAGCAACCAGAACTCATTCATTTTCAATGAGAGTTGAGGCCATCTAAGCCAACGGTAATGCTCGCATTATTCTTGTTTTGGTCCAGTCAGCATCACATGTGTTATTTGCAGTGAAGGCAATGCTAGAAAACATACTTAGTGATTTATAAGTTTGGATTTCTGTAAGATTTTATGTATTGTATGCTCCCCAACGCTGCATTTATTTGATTAAAAATACAGGAAAAAACTATATTGTGAAATATCGTTACAATTTAAAATAACTGCTTTCTATTTGAATATATGTGTCATTTATTCCTGCGATCAAAGCTGAATTTTCAGCATCATTACTCCAGTCTTCAGTGACACATGATCCTTCACAAATCAATTCTAATACTCTGATTTGAAATATTTCTAATTATCAATGTTAGAATCCGTTATATATATTGGATTCTTTGTTTGAAAGTTAAAATTGAAATATTTTGTAAGATTGTAAATGTATTTACTCTGTTTTGATAAGATCCTTACTGAATAAAAGTTTCACTTTATTTCAAAAAAAATCTTACTTACCAAAAACTTTTGAACAGTAGTGTATATTAATAATCAAAATTGTGTTTCTTTCACAATCATATTGCATTCTGGGATTGTTTTCACTTTAATGCAATAGAAATTGGTAAAAGAAAGAAATATAATTATGCTTCTTACCTAATATGATTACTATCCCTTTAATGTTCGGTTTCCTCCATTGCAGACTTTGGTTTAGCTAGAGAAGGAAAATATTAAAAAAAAGATTATTTCTTTAGCAAAAACATTCTGTGCTCTTTGTGAGCGAACGAACATGCGAGGGAACGCAAAACCATTGAAATATATTTTTCATCCCATCTCACATGCTTTCCATCACATGTCCCTTTAGATGCTCTATAGTTCTTTGCGAGCGAATGCAAAGTTTCTCGATGGAATGTAAAAGCATTGACAAATATATCTTCCTCCCCATCTAATTTGTTTTTCCTTCACCATGTCCCTTTAGGGGCTCCCTAACATTCTGTGATGCTCCAAATACAGTCCAACCAGTATAAAAGCAAGGGTGTTTGTACAGTAAAAGCTAAAAACGAGTTTATTTGGCCGATGAGGTGACTCAATCCGTGCTGTGGAGCAAGCAAAACAGACATTATCAACTGCAGGCTTTTACACGGCTTCCTGGCAGGCCTCTCCTGGGGAAAAGTGAGTCCCGTTCACTCACAGAAAGGATCTCTACGGCCTGACATGGAGAACGCTGTAATTGGTATTTGTGGCGAGAGGCTGGCGGCCAAGGCCTCCCATCTCAAGTACAAGATAAGGATTTCTGCAGGCAATTACAGCTAATGCCGCATTTAGCGAGGCACGGAGGATGGGGTTGGGCGGGAACATACCTAGAGCGTGCTGGAAAATGCGGACCACAAAGTCACACAAATACATGCATACGCATCCACTCAAATGTGTGCGCAACAACTTTACAGCTTTTTCATGTAGAAACACACCCACACAAACAATAAAAGGTGTCACTTTTAAACTAACCGTGCTGATTGTTTATTTGGCATTTGGGACTTTTTCCTAGTGGAGGTTTAGGGTGAGCTGCCAAAAGAAGGGAGAGAGAGAGAGCGTCTGCAAGCAACACAACTAAAACATTCTCATGTTTATCAATGGTACAACATGGTTTTCTAAATAAACTGATGCAGAGAATTAAAAATGCAATACTTAAATCAAGAATAATTTACTTGAGAAGCAAAATGACTCAAGATATTAAAGGAGTAGTTCACTTTAAAAAAAAACCTTTTGCTGATAATTTAATCACCCCCATGTCATCCAAGATGCCCATGTCTTTCTTTCTTTAGTCGAAAAGAAAGAAAGGTTTTTGATGAAAACATGCCAGGATTTTTCTCCATATAATGGACTTCAATGGGAACCAAATGGACTCGTTCGAATGAGCGAGTCTTCATTTATTAAATGAGCGATCGTTTCGCTTGATAAGACCCTTATTCATCGTCTGGAATCGTTTAAAGCCCTTTGAACAAGTTTGCAGTTTGCACTGAAACTCTCATTTGGACCTTGAACCGTTTGGTTCCCATTGAAGTCCATTATATGGAGAAAATCCTGGAATGTTTTCATCAAAAACCTTAATTTCTTTTCGACTGAAGAAAGAAAGACATGGACATCTTGGATGACATGGGGTGAGTAAATTATCAGCAAAAGTTTTTTGAAAAGTGAACTACTCCTTTAAGATATTAAGTCTTGATTTATGATAAATTGATCATAATTAAGTGAGTTTATTCTTAAAACATATCTTCCAATGGTATAAGAAAACTAAACTTATTTCAGAGGCAAAACACAATTTTTTTCTTACTAAATATATATTTATTTAATGCAAGTTCACTTATTTCTGATTATTTTTTCAGTAAACAAGACTTCTTATCTACAGTCGTTTTCCCTCTCAAATAAACGTATCTTGTTTTAAGATTCTTTTTTTTTTTTTTGTAATGAAAACGAGACAAAAAGTCCTGAATTTGTTGCTGTGATGACAGTTTCATTATTTATTCTGACACTTTTGCCTCTCCAATTAATTCTGGATTCATACAATCAAGTTCAGCATCTTGTTTCTGTTGAATATGTTGTTTTAGTTGGAAATACACTAGTCAAAAGGTTAGTAAATGCAATTTTATGTTGACCTTTGCTTTGCGCACCCATATTAACAGCTTGCAATTTTCACATTATACACAAGCAGTGTGGACATACATAACGGTTTCGATATATATATATATATATATATTTGTCATGCTAATAAACCCATGAACACAATCTTTTGGAATTGTTTTTTTATGTAAAAAGTGAACTACTTACCAATTTTCGCTGAAAGGCACACAAACATTTTCTTCACGCTTCACTTTCAAAGCTACCAGACAAAAAGAAGAAGAAAACAATGATGGTGTATACAATGCCTTCACTGCTGTCTCTCAGCATGTGGTGATTGAAAAGCTCAAGCAGTGCCGTGTTTCACCAGTGGGGGGCAACAGGAGATGAAAAAACTCTAATTGACTGTCAAAGAAACACAAACCTGTCAATTCAGATGTTGCCTTATATCTTATGTACGACTATCATGACTGTGAAATTCATTACAGCGTAGCTTGACTCATCAAATCGATAAATGTAGTAATGTTGATGATGGAGCACTACCATCTTCATATGTTTTTCATAAAACAATAATGGACTCTGTTATGAAATCAAACTACCGGCATACACCTGCAAAAACGTATATTTTGGTGTCTGAATTCGAAAAGCAGCAAAGCAGAAAAGAAAATCCCGAGCTGAACTGCTATCCAAGTTGATTTGATATACTTCTGTATACTTTATTGAACACTTGTTTCATTTGTCTGTTTTTACTTTTCCCAAGTTAACATCTGAGTCAAAGTTGATGTTGAAATTAAACATGGCTGAGTCGTTAAAGTGGAAAAGGAAAAGAAAACACTTTAAAGGCATGCTCATTAAAAGCACAGCGATGGCACGTGAAGCTTTGTTTACAACAATGAGCCCAGGAGTAAATAATTGCTGGGGGAAGCAGGGGGTTAATGTGTCTGTGGTTTGGCCCGATCTGCCGCCCGGAGCAGGAGTCAGAACATCATTAAACCTAATGGATAGGATGTGGTTTCCCTCTGGAGCGGCGCAGTCGCCCCAGGGAGAAAGACACGCCGCTCAGGTGAACTGAACCTCCCTATAATGCTCTGCCATTGGACCGTGGAAGCGTCCAGCCACTCTGCTCTCACCATCAGGAAAAGAACCTGATTGGTCAGCTGAAGTGACCAATGAAATTGTATCTTATACTAATCTCACTTGCCTGTGATCTTTGGCCGTCGGGTCGGATGAGATGCATCACATAGTCTGTGGTTTTTCATGGAATGCATCTCCAAGGCAAATTTATGGACTGATGAAATAATGTCTTATGATGAAGCTGAAATCACTTGTAGAAAGAGGTCATTAAGGTCAGGGTAGAAGTGATGAGATGCCAGTGGAACGTTTTATTGCTGTTTCACGGCTCAGTCGATTTAAATATCGACGTTGTTTCTCAAATATACCTTGGGAGAAACAAAAAGACACAGATGAGATGCTAAAATGTTTTATTGTATTTGAAAATTGCATGCTGCCTACACTATGCGCGACACCGTTTTCAACTAAAAGCTGAAAAAATAAAAGCGTATTGGTGGCCTTAAAATGCCAATTTTTTTCATAATGTTATCGTCTTCGTGTAAAGTACAGAAATGCGAATCTGTGAAAACGGTGACTGCATGCATATACATTTTGCGTGTTTAGTCTATAGGCACGGCATGTACGCGTTGGCACGAGTGCTCTGTAAACCAATGTGTACTGTATGTGCACAGGTGCGTAGTCTTCCTTCGCAGCAGCATAATACAGTGTTTTTAGTTGTTTTTGTGGATCCATGTGAACAAGGATCGTTTTGATAACGTTAGTTCAATGTCCTGTGAACATATCCTAAACCCTAAACTTAAACTTACCGATAGTGATAACAGAAACAAACGTGACAAAAAAAAAAAAAACGAATTTGCTGAAGAAACCATGCATTTTAGTCTGCTTCTAGTCTTTGAGCTCTTTTACTGCGACTCACATTCAAGAGCTCCACATCGTAATGCTGTCCCATGAGCACAGACGTCAGAAAAGCTAACACACTCTCGTCCTAGGGCGTTATATAGGTGACGCTTTTGACATTGTGTCTAAATCCGTTTTAGCGTCAATATAAGACGCTTCGGTTATGGGTAGGTTTAGGTCTGGGGTAGTGTTAGGGTTTGACCACTAGGAGGCGCCTTCTATATATATATATATATATACTGTATATACAGTATATATATATATATATATATGAAGAGTTCAGATGCAAAAGCCTCTAAATGCCATTTGAAATTTTCTTCTTTAATGGCGATTTTTATCAAACTTGTATATTTAAGTTCAGTAATTTCACTTAAATGGCAATGATAATTACCTATTAATTGTTATTTAAGTGATATTACTGAACTGAAATATACAAGTTTGATAAAAATCATCATTAAAGAAGAAAATTTCAAATGGCATTTAGAGGCTTTTGCATCTGAACTCTTCATATATATATATATGCGTCTCATATTGATGCTAAAGGGTGCCATGTGCGTCGGATGTAGACGCAGTGTCAAAAGCGTCACCTATATGACACCTTGGGGATGAGTATGTGATGCAAACTTTAAAATGAAGTAGTTTACAAATCATGCACTATGGTAAAAGTGGTTTGAGATCATAATAGTATTGTAAAAGGATCTGTGTGTGAAAATAAGTGTTTAATAATCAATAATCTGCCTCTTTAATAATGATACAGTATGTTCAAAAAACGTTAGGAATAAATCTTGTTGGTGTTCAGTGTTGGGTGTAATTAATTACTGTAATTTAATTACCTTTCCCTTGAAAATGTAAAGTAAGGGATTACTCTTCATTCATCTGTAATTTAATTACAGTTACTTCTGATGTAATTGAGGTAAATACTGCGTATGGATCAATCCGATCTCACAGCGATTCGTATGCATTTTATGAGGTGTCTAAATCATACGACTGCACTCGTACAAATTCGTATGAATTATTGTAAAAAATGTATGAAAAAAGTGTGAAATGTCATGAGATCAGACATAAAACAATAGTGGGTTTAACATCAAAATATATTGTCTAATGTGTTAAAAAGTATGTTTTTATAATGTAACCTTCTCCACCTTGGTCAGTTTAAGGATAATTCAAGCAATTTTATAGTATTTATTTGAAAGAATTAAAACAGATGTCTATCCTTGTATTATTCAGCTGGTTGAGATTGATATGGGATTTTGAAAGTAATTAGTAATGAAAAGTAATTAGATACTTTTAAGAGAGAGTAATTAGTATAGTAGTCTAATTACACTGTTGAAGAGGTAATTAGTAACTAATTACTTTTTTAGAGTAACTTACCCAACACTGTTGGTGTTTTACTGCCACTATGGTGTTTATATTAGCTGGAAACGGCAATGCATGATAAGAATAGATATGTTTTAGCCAATGACCCTCAGTTGAAATTGACATGGATAGCAGCATACCTTGGGTCATTTACACCTGAAAGATTTAGATAAAAAGCATAAGATCTCGGACACTTTAGTTATTCACAATTTTACACTTTGTTGAGATCTGAAACTCTAGATGAGACACATGTGACCCTATTTCCCT